CGGACATTGAGTGTTTTGCGTAGACAATTGTTTGTAAACACTTGTACTTTTTTTATGATTGTTGTAGTAGATCTCCACGTTTCAGCTCCGTACAGTAGAACTGTCTTGATGTTCATAGTGAAGATTCTGACTTTGATGTTGGTTAACAGTTGTTCTGAGTTCGATATGTTCTTCAATTGTAAGAATGCGGCCCTTGCTTATATATATATATATATTACAGAATCTCTTGTTAAAATATGAAAATCTTATATTGAATACTTCATTTGCAAATCTTCCATCAATCGTCCTTCATATTCTGTATGATTCTTCCAATTTACGATTCCTTTCTATCCCCCTTTCTGTTTTCTTTAACTCGACCTTCATACAATACATTTCTGATTGGTGTTACATAATATCTATTTTGAAAGATATAAGTAGCATATACGGTAATAATAACAATAATTATAACAGACAGGTTACTCGAAAGACTGACAAACTCAGTTACTTTGTTGTACACAACACAGGAATTAGAATAAATGAGTTTCTCTCTACAGGATGCCTAAAAAGTTCATTAAGATAAGCATAAAATGTACATTTTGGACAATCGGTTCTCGTCATATAATCGTTCTACTACACAGTTGATTACTATTATGATTAGGTGAGGAATCGGTGTGTTCAAATAAGAAAACTCTTTAACCACTGAACTAGTAAACAATTTTTAATCATCGTTTCACTTGAATAAGATGAGATCCGTAAGCTGTCCGTTCTCATAGCACCTTATGATGTGGAAATAATTACAAACGATTGATTCGTCGTACGTTGCAAACAATAATTAAAACAGAGAAGGTAAAGTTTTGAGATGGTGAAAAAGATTTGTAGCTCAGGTGGATGATTTTGATGGAGTTTTATTCTCTGAGCTGGATGGTTTGGTCGTGAAAAATATGGAACGCTTCACGATTTTGCGTGTCATCCTTGCGCAGGGCCATGAAGCTTTCCATATTTTTCACGACCAAACCATCCATCTGAGAGAACAAAACTCCATCAAAAAGAGAAGGTAAAAATTCATCATTTCATTTTTTGATTGGTCAGTCTATTAACGCCAAAAATTGATGCACGCTCACATTATAGAATCTAATTTTCAAATCAAATATTTGTTATTTTCTGATAATTTTCTTTTGTAAACCTAGCGACGAAGATATTAAAAGTCGCAGATACAAAATATTGAAAAGTTTATGAAAGACAATGTTAATTGTTCATCTTGAAAAAGGTTGGTACTTCCTTTAGCCCGAAATAATAGCATCTTGTGTACGGTTAAAATATCTGTAGTGTCAGTTACTATGTTAAGCACACACAGCTTATTCTAGCTTCCGTACAGTCCAATTTATTCATTCTTCCTAAACCACATTTTGACTTTGTCAATTATTTGCTTAACAACTTTGACTGTTTTTATATGAGCCTGTGTGTGTGCACTTCTTATCCTATTCATCACATGTCTGTAACTTATTTTTGTGGCTATAAATATCGATTAACATTTGATTAAATCGAGTTCGTTCACACACCTCCACTGCGTGCCATTTCGCTTCACCTTCTTCTCGTCGCATCGTCCAGATCAGTGAGTGTACAAAATATACGTATTCAAAAATCTATTCTCATATTTGACTTATTTAATTCCGTTATTCACTAACGTAATTTAAGTCGATGATTATGTACGAGGATTGACGACATGTATATCTCGATAAAATTCAACCAGACGATCGACTTGGAGTCAGATACAGGGCCACTAAGTACCTCAATGATAAGGATTGGAACTGTACAACTGAATCACACGCACTTGTGGTTTACATAGACCAGCATTTCCCTCGGTATTTTAAACACGAATAGGCAGCAAGCGCAAAACATAACTAGCGGTTTTCTTGTGGATTGTTTCAAACAACTTAATATCAAAGAAATGATCTCGTATACAATCTTCATGAAAAGTTTTACATTTTGACGCATTTTTTCAAAATAACTTCTTTGTAGACTTGTCACTTAATACCATTGTTAAGGCATGAAATAACAGAGATCAAAGTAGGGTACATTTAATTGATGATCTGTATATGTCTATGTTGTTCTGAGAAAGGTGAAAATACATCCGTCCAGAAATAAGAACCTAAGCAAGATAAGTTGGAAAAATGAGCTAATGAGTGTTCTTGTTAACATCAAGAAACTGTGACGACAGGCAGAAGTGAGCGGGAAAATTATTCAGTATGTGGTCTTGGTTTTAAATCTTGGTTAATAATTCATCATTCATTCAGTCATACTATACTGAATATTTTGTATTTAAATAACACTAAATTCTCCAATTTTTATATCCTTATACTCAGTCAGTTGACCAGTGGTTTTTGATTCATATATAAAACTGAGAATAAGTTTCGTGAACAAAGTGATCGGTTCGTTCACTATACATACACAAGTATTTTGTCACAGATCGGGGGTAATTTATAAGGATTAAAACTGATATTCCCAAACTTTTTCGTAATACACCTATAGGGATTCCCATTTATTTATTTGTTGAACAGGGTAGATTTAAAGTTATGCTTATATGGCACTGTATTGAACAAGAACACGAGTTGGGCAATCGAATGTATTCGAGCCTAAACTTACAGAATATCTTACTGAAATCTGAGAACCATACCGTAAATAGTTAATTTGCAAAATATCAATCAGTTGTCTGAAACTTGACCATTCTTTTACAAATATCAGTCCATCGTCTCAGATTTTAGTGTTTCTGCATTTTCATACCAATTGCCTACCATTCCCGGTCTTTCCTTCTCGATCTTCTACTGAAATACATTCTATTCCTGACCATCGTTATATACTACTCTGTGTGGATATAAGTAGCTCACACCACAATACTACTAAACAGAAGTAGGTTTCTTGAGGATACTCTTAATAATACAATAGTTACATTCCACTTTGGTTTTCTTGAAAAATATAATTTTCTATTGGTGGTCAGTTAACTAACATACCTACAAACGACAAACGGTAGAGGATAATCAATACAACAAACGAAACCGAATTTTGTAGGTATCATTACCAAGGTTCGATTTGATAATTTCGAATAAATTGAGCATTGGGTAGATTATTATAAATAAATAAATAATATATTTGTAATATCCCAATGAGTAGAAAATTAGATTTTCTGACGTTTCGTGATATAGTGAAAATCACTTCTTCAGAGAATAAATAACTAAATTAGAATTAGTCCGAGTTTAAATAGAACAATTGTACTCATCGGGATATTACAAATATATTATTTTTATTTAGAAACCGAATTTTCTTCAAATAAAATATATTATTTAAAACAAGTAATGGTAGTAGTAGTAGTAGTAATAATAATAATAATAGTAATAATATTAGTACGCTTTGTGATTAATTCATTGGATAATTCAATAATGTAGAGATTTTTAGAATTGAATATGTTAATATAGATAGATTTGGCAAATACATTTACAAATACCCTGTTTCAACCGATGGATGTCTTTAGCGTTTGTTTGTTTTTTAAATACAAAACCAAAAATAATAATAATGTTTAAATGAAACATAATCATCATACTTATGACAATGCGTGATTGAACACTGTGCGCGTATTATGTTTATGTAATAAGTTTAACTTGGAAATATAACTTTAAGTTTACTACTATTAAGAGATGATCAGAGTGAAATATCATCATTACATAATTGAATGTATATAGAGGACTAAAATTGAAATGATCTGTATAATTGGTTAGAGTTTTGTTTTTAATGTATAGAGAGTTCATGTGCATATATCATGACTGTGAAGAACTGAGGTGTCAACTGTCATAATTACGATATATATATATATATATATATATATATATATATATATATATATATATATATGGTTTATGTAGATAATATCAAGCTTCACTCAATAATATATCTCATACAAGTAGTATACTTTGCAATAAATAAAAATAACATAGAATTACATTCATTAAAATATAAAATCATATAAATATGCAACGAAAAAAAACAAAAACAGAACACCCAGCTGATAAGAAATGTTGTACAGACTAAATGATCTAATCCTAAACAAAATGAAAATGATGTTTACAGATAAACGAACAAACAAACAAATTGTGATATGGTTTCTTTTTTTAAAAAATTATGTTTGCCTCCTCATTCATTTAAAAAGTTTGATCCAAAAAAATGTTAGTTGACTAGACGAAAAAGAATTTATGTCACGCCTATTATGTAATGTCATCATTACACCTTATACATACATAAAATAAATCCCAAATCGAACCAACAATGTTTATCCATCATTCCTAATCCCAAATAATTCCATCATTTTGCACAAACAACTAACAGTGACTATGTTTTGTTGTTCTCAAATATTTGTTGAGAGGGGGGAATGGGAAGGGTACAATAATCATGTAACGATAAGAAAGATGGAAAACGAAGAAGAATTTTAAATGAAAGTATAAATATAATATTGTCTGTTATCGATGGTAACTATTATTATTACTATGGTATGGTTTTTCTTAAAACAAGAAAGACACTTGGAGAATCAAAATAATATATTTGCTATCAGTGACAAATGCGTTTGTATATGTGGGATTTTCATCAATAGAGATGACCGTCTTCTTTATTGTCTTTTCACCTTATTCTTGTTGATTTTTTTAATTGATGGTGGTACTATCGTAGAATTCTACATGGAGAAGTTTTTACCAGGTGTTTTGACAAGGATAAGCAAACCTTTTTAATAAAACCACAGAAACTACTGACAAACATATACTTGCACAGGAAAATTAAAAGGAGAGGGAGAGACAAGTAGGTAAACAATATTCTTCCCCACTCCTCACGTAAATAAAATAAATATATATAAGTTCTTTATTTAATAACAAGATAAATATATACATAGAATGATTTCTTTTAAAATAAATGATAAACATGAACGGAGAGTGAGCGAGAGAGAGAGAGAGCGAAAGAAAGAAACCTGTTAAATACCCTGTTTCCTATTATGGTTTATCGTTCTACTGTTATTACATTGTTTATGATTGAAAACTGAAATTGCATAAACAATCCATACGTACATATGGACAAATAGATAGAGTAATATACAGATACATAGAAATAGAGAGAGAGGAATATTATGTATTAACATGATTTGGATAAGATGATAATGCTGATGGTGTATTAGTGATAGTCATTTCATAGTTTGAGGTATTAATTCCAGTTGATTGACCAAAACGTCTGATTGTATCACTATTATTATTACTGCTACTGTTCACTGTATTACTATTTAAATTGTAATTGTTAATTAATGCTGGTTGGGGACGAAACATTAATCTACCTTCAACCGGTTCAGTTTTACTATTTATTCCAGATGTTGAAGACTCCGGTGATGAGCTGAACATTGAATTTGATGCAAGGTTTGAAACATTCGAGTTGATAATATGACCACTTTGTATAGGATAAATTAAACCGTTCGGATAACAAGCTATACTATTACTATTGTTCGTTGTAGTTGCATTCATATTGCCCATAATAAATTCTGAATTATTTCCAGTTGTAACAGGTGATACATTTTGACCATACGTTGATAATGACCTAGCCTCAGGTACAGAATAAAATGGTGATGATACTGGTTGTTGACTACCGCCAATGGATTGAATTAAAACAGGATAACCTCCTGGTATCATTGGTACAGTACCGTGTAAATTAACTTGACAATTTGGAGTTGATAATTGTGTATTAATCGGACCATTATTATTATTACAACTATTCATGGAATTGGTACCATTAACTGATGAATAACCTATTGATGTAGTACCTAATGCTGTACCGGTTGGAGATGTTCTCAAACGATTATCACTGGTGATTGTAGTATGACCATTTATACCACCATTACGACATACACCAATTGAACTACCGCTTGCCACTGAAGATGATTTAATTTGTGATTGTTGTACAGCATTAAAATAATTACGCTGATGTCGAACATGAGATGCACGTCGATTATGAGCTGTACGTCGACTGATCAAACAGTATGTTACTACACACAAACATATGAAAAATATAGTAGTCGGTATAGCAATGTATAAAGTTAATCGATGTGTCCCACTGCTTCCAGTCAATTTATGACCTTGAATTAAGGATCCGCCTAAAATGGTAAATAATTACAAAAACTAAATTAAGACGTAAACAACAGTGTAGAATTAAACACATATCAATAAGTCATTTAAATTAAAGTGAACAATGAATAACATCATCTCAGAATGATAACGTCCGTTGAAAAACTAGTCGAAACTGAGAAGCGCTTATAAAAGATTTTGTCTTAGACTCTTCAGGCTCTTCAATAACCGACTTGATAACAAACTCTTTAATGGACCTACAAACATTTGGATTTCATAATGAGTCCATTGTATGATTCAGTCAGAGTTAAAATTCCCACACCTTTTTAAACAACACAGTCAGTTCCTTAGCCAGAAAGTCACCACCATCTTTAAAAAGAGCCGGAGGTAAGTCATCTGGGCCAGGTGATTTGTAACGCTTCAAGAGTTGGAGTTCCTTGCGGACTTCCTCCTCGTTTGGTGGATCAGTCGTCACCGGCCATGGAGGGCAGGACAGTCTGACCGATGTTGCCGGAGCAGCAGGCCAGTTGAACTGCCCTTCGAAAAATTCTGCCCATCGTCCAAGACGTCGATGGATGTTAGTGATTGGCATCCCATCATCCTCGCAGATTGTTTCACTCACACCAGACTTCTTGCTGCCAGTGGCTCGGATGAGTTGGAAGAGCTTCCGGTAGTTACCAGATGCAGCTGCTGCTTCCAGCTCATTAGCACGCTTCGACCACCAGGCTTCTCGGTCCTTACGCAAGCTTTGCCCAATTTCCTTACGTAACATCCTTCGTTTATGGTCAAACTCACGGTCACCCGGAGTAGACCGACGGGCTTCAATGAGTTGTAAGGAACCAGAAGAAACCCAGTGCTTAAAAGCGGGACGTTTCGCAAACCCACAACTGACTGTTCCCGCCATTTTCATGGCGTCATGCAATTGCAACCAATGCTCATCTATACTTTTCGGTGGAGTGGTAGCTAGCCTAGAGGCTAGCTCGGTTCGATACTTACTTGCAACAGAAGTTGCAACCAGCTTGCTAACATCAATCCTTTGGTGGTGGTCACTTCGTTGTCCACTGAAAAGTAAGGCAAGATTGGCGCAGACCAAGGCATGGTCAGAGTCCAGATAGGTACTCCAAAAGGAGCGGCAGTCTTGTACACAACCACGCCAGCGGTAGCTGATCGCGATGTGATCAATCTGAGTCCAGGCTTGAGATGCAGAGGGAGGACGCCAGGTGGCACATCGGCGATGACTGTGCCGAAAGTTAGTGCTAGCCAGAAACAGGTTGTGGTCTGTGCAAAGTTGCAGTAGACGGTCCCCGTTATCTGACCTGCGACCAACGAGTCCCCATCGGCCACCTAAACGACTCTCTTCTGTGCCTAGACGCCCGACCTGAGCATTCAAGTCTCCGGCTAGTACTACAATATCTGTCGAACGCACTTTCTGGAGAAGAACAGATAACTGGTGGTAAAACTCATCCTTGATTGCATCCGGGCTGCAATCTGTCGGGGCATAGGCGGAGATGACGAAAAGACATCGTTTCTCACTTTGATGGAACTTTCTAATCTAACAGCACATAACCGACTGTTAATGGGGATCCAATCGACTAGTGCTGCCTCAGCTCTAGCGCTTAGTGCGACACCAACGCCAGCAAGACCAGACGAAGATGCCACAGGGTCCCCGGATAAGCGCACGTAAAACAAGCTTTTCGAAGCGACAGATGGAGATCGAATTTGTAGTACTTCGCCAGAGTCTTGAATACGGGTCTCGGATAGACAACAAACATCGATATTAAGACTTTCCAAAGACATAGCCAGCCCTATCTGTTGTCCGACCTGCATAAGTCTGCGAACGTTGAAGGCAGTCTGTTTGAATGGTGCACGTGGTTTGAAAAAAACTGCCTCAGTATTTGTATTTGGTGGTAGCATACAATTTTCAATCAGGCAGTGACTCGAAAACGATTAGACAGAACCGAGTTTCCACCATAGGCGAGCTGCTGTATAAGTCGAAATAATAAGTATAGACAGAGTAGGAATATAAGAGGGTGAATAATGACGCAGTAAATAATAATAATAATTATTATTATTATTATAATTATAATAATGTGAATTGTCTGACTGTAAATCGAAGCGAGAATAGAGTTTCCAGTGAATACCATCATTTTGATTATATTTGTGTGTGGGCTGCGATACTGACCGGGTGCCAAAACCGAAGCAGGTGGTCTTCCTAGGGGGCCACACCCGGAGCCTTCGACCTAAAAGTCTAACCCACAAGGCAGTGGATCATCGTAAGGAGATGCAGTCCCATGGTAGGCGGTGGCCACGATTGGTTCATGCACCATTTGTTTCCTTAGGATACTGGAGCCCATGTGCACCATTGGTTTGGGATCCGGTTAAAGCGCTGAACATCCGCTTTTTGTCCTCTCATTTTCGTAAACAATACCCCCGCCAGAAGAAGGCAGTGAGTAGGACTGTATACGCGTGGCTATGTGAGAGTATTTGAGAGGGAGGGTGGGCTATACCAGGGCATTTGGGAGCGTAACTACGATACTTTCATATCATTCAGATGGTTTCTAAAACCGTTTAATTTGGGATTATACAGCCTAAATGAACATATAACTCATTGATTTGACAGTATTGTGTTCAATGTTTGCAAGTTGTGAATGTTTTATTTTTATTTTTAATTTCCAAATGATTCTCTCTAATTCAAATTATTTCAAGTTTTCAAGATATCACCTCTAAAAGGTGTTTGCTTTCTTTAACATCTTCCCTAAGATGTAATCACATTCAATTTTAATTAACAATAAAAACGTATTAGTGTATCTGGAATCATTTGTTTAGGCCTCAGCAACTAGATTTATCATCGCCAGCATACATAACAGTAACAACAACGAATCAAATAACCTGTATTTAATTAAAATAATATCCGATTTCATCAAGTATTCTTTCTTGTTAATGCTGGTTGTCTTTTTTCGAAAAAATTGAAGTGGTATTTATTTAGACTGTCATACACCATTTCATTAATGAGTCAGAAGTTGTGTATAAATATGGGTGTGAGAGACAGTAGATGTGACTAAGGGAAAAACGTAAGAAAAACTGGAGCCGAAAGAGTAGAGTTATAGTAATGACAACCAAGCCCTACTTTAATTACTGATACACAAGTATTCATGTTTTTGTATGTATGTGCACAAATAAAATCCTGGAGGACACTTGAAACTGAATATTATTATCGCAAAGTGAAATTAAATGTATAGGTCAAACAGACAAACAACAAAACAAAACATAATGTATGTCAATCAACAAACAATGTGTTGTTGTTATTATTCGAGTGTGGACAGATGGTTATGCTTCCACTTGAACACACATACACACAGTAAAACACAGGATAATGTCAGGAGACACAGACAATTCATACCATTATGAACAATTAGCTGTCTGATTAACAAAACAAGCGTTTAGAATTACTAAAACTACAAATAATACTACACTCTCAACCTACCTACCAGTAATATAATTAGACAAACATCAAATAGGTAGTTTACCATTAATTAAGAATACAAAACAGTGTATACATTAACGTATAATATGTGTGCATGTGTGTAGTAGTAGAAGCAAAAAACAAGAGAAGTGGAAAGGCAATCCATAATTGACAATAGAACAAGACACCGAGAACATTAGAAATCTAATCGAGAGATAGGACCGAACGGCTGTCCAATACTTCCAGGTTTTCCATGGTGGTCTAGCACCAATCGACTCATGATCTCAACTAAATTATCCTTCATCAATACCAAAATGAAGCCAGTCAATTTTGGTGCATAATTGAACTATCTATTCCGGCTCTCGTCAGATTTCAGTGCTATTAGTTCTATAAATAATAGTTTCCCATCTTTATGTGATTTAATCGTTTAGGGTTCTTAAAAACGTTTTAAAAAAATTCACTATTTAGAGGTCGAACCCGGAGATAACATTGCTAAGCAGATTCCACTAAGACTGTTTCTCTGTGCACAAACGGGAAATGAGTGTGGTTCAGTTCCTCAAATCTAATTTCCCAATATTTTAATATCATATCCTATTCTTCTAAAATAATTTAAAATTTTCATACTTCTGGCTATTTTACAAATATTTCTAAACGATCTCGCTGGCTCCCAAATGCCCTGGTACGGTTGAGAGTGGGGAAAGTCCGCTCTCCTTCTCAAAATGCTCGCATATGGCCACGTGTATATAGCCTCTGCCAGGGAAGTCCTACTCACTGCCTTCTCGTGGCGGGGGTATTGTTTACGAAAATGAGAGGACAAAAAGCGAATGTTCAGCGCTTTAACCGGGTTGGTGGACACGGAGAGTCCGCCTAGGAAAGTTGGAAAACCCCGATTCAAAACCAATGGTGCACGTGGGCCCCAGTATCCTAAGGAAAGAAACGGTGCATGAACCAATAGTTGGCCACCGCCTACCATGAGATTGCATCTCCTTACGATGATCCACTGCCTTGTGGGTTAGACTTTTAGGTCGAAGGCTCCGGGTGTGGCCCTCTAGGAAGACCACCTGCTTCGGTTTGGGCAACCGGTCAGTATCACAGCCCTCACACAAATCGAATGATTTATGAGGCGTATATCTATTTGGTTGCCCAGGACAGGGTTGGATGAAGAATGCTGGTGAGCGGCCTGTGCTCCTTCACGAGAAGTAACAGGCGTAAGGAAGTATATCTATTTGGTGCCTCACTGTACCAACATCTACGTGTTCAAATAAATAAATAATGAAATGGTCCCGCCAACTTGGTGGAATTTGATGGTAGGCTACATTCACCCTACAGACTATAGTTTGCCTACCTCCATTTTAGAGCCAAGCTCACCAACAGTATAGTCAGCAAAAATCAACCTTCTTTTTACGTGTACATAAATAATGTGAATAAATTGTTTAAATAATTTGTCAATCATTTAGATCTATTATAATTTATGCAAACTCTTATCAATAATTAAGACATAGAATATGGAAATTCTTAAGAATAAAACCAAAAAATAATAAAACTATTACTAATCGTAGTAAGATAGGTAAAAAGAATAAGCAGAGAAAACAAGCTACATTCACCAGGTAAATTACATTGATGAGGACCATAAATGTACAATTAACCGCAAAAGGAAAAAGACGGTGATACTTGATGAAGACAGCATCATATAAAAATATGCTTAAAGTTAGGAATATAGACCACTGTTGCCAGCCAAGTGGTCTAAAAGTAGTTTGTTTACTGAGAAACAAGAAAATTCTAGGTTCAGTCCTATGTAGGTTTGTGAGTGTTCGTCGATAAAGGGTTTCAAACTAGTTCTATCAAGTGCTGTTTCGTACTCAATAGTTCTTCCTTGATGCAAACTGCTCTTTAGAATTTTCGTACACTTAATTTCTGTGAATAGTCTATAAATTGATCACTTGATGCGTTCAATTATTTTTACACTGAGTAATTTCGTGCACATTATGTAACCTTTATAATACAGTATTATAAGATCAGAAAGGTTAAATAATAAGTTTTTAGAACAATCTCTTCTAATTTATACGAATATTCGTCAAGATTAGAACGAATAGTTTGACAGTAATTGAGCGCCGAGTATAGAGAAGTCATTATGTGTGAAAATTATATTTGAAATATTCTCAGCGATTGAAATTTAACTAATTCCAACGTTTCGTCCAGCTAGCTTGTCTGGACTTCTTCAGATAATCAAAATCAAAATTATCAATTTTGATTATTACCCTGAAGAGTCCAGACAAGCTAGCTGGACGAAACGTTGGAATTAGTTAAATTTCAATCGCTGAGAATATTTCAAATATAATTTTCACATATAATGAAATCTTTTCTAATCTTTAATATTTGCCTATGTTTATGGTGTGCCCCCCCCTTGTGTTTGTCTATGATTTTAGGTTTATATACGTGGGGTACTGTAACATACGGGATCATTTTACATCTGTACAGGCTAATAATTAATTATTTTCGTGTTTGTTTATTGATGTTTAAATAGAAGTTTTCTATCTATAGATGAAGTATATTCTCTCTTACAAGTGATCAGGCTTTCTTACTGTGACACTTTTAGTCGGCCATATTAGTTAAAACTCCTGTACGCTGAGGTCTTTTCATCCCAGACATGCTGAATGGAGAATGGTGAAACTAAGATCAGTTAACTTAAAGTTGAAAGATGAAGTCGTACTAAGGTGTTTTCTATTGATAACGAATATGAAAATTCTGTTGTACCAAACGTTCATATATCTTTGCTCCACAGATTTTTAGTGCTGACAGAGTTGAAAAACGTATAGAGTTAAAACTAGCAAACTGGACGTAAACATGATTCCCTTAAAGTATGTAATCATTCTTCGATCTTGACCATCATTACTGATACAGATTCTTCATGTTCTTTAGTAAGAAACGCTCCCTTATAAGTGAAAAATCTGGAAGTACTAACCATCGGGACATCTTCAGAAACATTCAAAAATCTACTTTAAGTAAGTTTTTGTAATATACGTTTACGTAATGCTTAATATAATGGGAGTTATTCTGAATTACATAGAAGTTTAGAAAGAAACTCTATCAAATAGAAAAATGAGATTTAAAAATCAGACCTACCAACTACAGATATTTGAACAAATTTATGATCATCTCGTCCAGCTTCAGTTAATACAGAACATACATATCGTCCAGAATCTGATTGACTAGCTTGTCTTAATAGAAGTTGACTACTTTGACTCGATGAAACCTCAGTAGCTACAGCACCTGAAGGTAGTGCTTCTGCCACTGATGATGATGATGATGACGACGATGATGATGATAATGCAGAAGAAGATGAAGATGAAGGTCTCAGGGCTGATAGTTTAGGTGAAAACAAAGTGTCTGATGGCATGTTTGAATTATAATTTAAAGCTAATAAAGTTGGTACACTTGGAAGAACAACAAATGTCCCACCAGCCCATTGAATAACTTCTCTTCCTTCGGCTTCATAAGCTAAACGTTCATTAATATCTATACTTTTACCCCACTAAAAATGTTTATAGAAAAAGATATAGTTAATGAATAATTAATAATTATGATGTACATATAAATGATTTGAATATTTCAACGATGGTCAAATGTATACCGTACAACTGTGAGTTTACATATGGACGATATTTAAATACCAATACTGTGGTGTGAGCTACTTATATTGATATAAGTAGTATATAACGTGCGTTAAAAGAACGTAATGTCCGGCAGCAGAAGATGGCGAAGATCGAGAAAGGAAGAGCAAGAGCACAATGGAATTGTAAGAAAACGCATGTACAATGGAATGGGCGACAATGGATTAGTGTTTGCAACGGGAACAGTACAGTTTGATATGATGGAATGATATTTTGCAAATTGACGATTGACTTTATGGTATTCACATTTTATTGAGATAGTCTGTAATCTATGTGCTAAATACAATCGATTGTCCCCACCCGTGTTCTTGTTCACTACAATACCATATCAACACTATTCACTTATAGGTTAAGCTACTGAGTAAAAAGTTGAAAGGTGATATAAAATATTTTATGTAAAGGGTCTAAATAAAATAAATGAGGCATATATTTGTCATAGTCAGCTATTAAATATCTGGGATTAGAATTAGAATATACTAGGAGTTGAGAAGATTATTCCTGTGGCATTTGAAGATCCCATATTCCATCCCCAAATGTGGTCATGTCTATTCACTTGTGAAAATAGAATGAAACCATTGTTTACTCAACCCTGACATAAAATAACTAACTAAACCATGATGAAAGTTAACTTGATATGGAATGTTGACTAGGGATGTCAAAAACTTCATATTGGTCATACTAAAATATAATGCCAAATAAGACTACAATTAAATATTTTTTTCTGAGATATTTAAAGAAAGAGCAACTATTTTGTGGGTAAGACATCACTACTTAAAAACATTTGAAGATGGGGGAACTTCAACAATTCGTTTTTTTAACAAACTGAGGAGTCCCACAATAGGACGAAACGACTGTCCAGTGCTTCCAGGTTTTCCATGGTGGTCTAGCTTCAATTGACCCATGATCTCAACTATTGAAACTATTTCGTTATAGTTTAAGTTTTTCTTAGCCTACAAGTTAATACTATCACTTCTTACCTGGATCTTTATTGAGAAAAAAAGAAAAAGAATCTTCATAAATTTCTACATTTATTATTTAGTTTTCAACTATGATGTAATTGAATATCATATTAAATTAATCAACAGCAGATTAGATTGACTCGTGATTTCAACTGTGAGAATCACCAATTACTTTTCTCATAGCTATGAGCATTAAACAATTGTATACAATTATAAATGAGCACTTTGTTACGTCATTCAACTTTTAAGAATACACAATCTATCAATTGATGGTATTAAACATATTCCTTGAAGATTAAGCTATTTTAACGTGAACAAGAGATATACAAACTTATCCAGTAGATTTCTGTTACATAATATATCATTTTTGATGAATTATTACTTGTGTTGGATTAGTAAGCTGTAGAGTTAATCTGTATTCATATCTTCTTGTCAATGTCTAATGTTTGAGGGAAATATAAGTCATCTCAAGGTTACAAATACGTACACACTCACTTAGATGGTAAGTTTCATTAGGTGAGACTATTTACTTCTTCTGAATAACTAAATTAATCATAAACAGAGTTATAGGTTATCTCAAGGTTGTTTATCGTGTCCGTTTTCTTATCTTTACTACCCATGTCCTCCATTTCATTACAATCAATATAAGCTCAAATTTAAATGCATATATTGTTTGAATGATTATTTATTTATTTATAATAAATACCACAAAAACACTTATTAACTTTGTATTGTTTTTCCACTCTGGTGGAACCAGTTTTTACTAACTTGGACCAAGTAGTATCGTGTAATAAGAATACTGGTAACATAATGAATAGAAACAAACTCTCTCTCTCTCTCTCTCTCTCTCTATATATATATATATATATATATATATATATATATATATAAAGTATTAGCATAAATTGTCAATCAAAACTTATTTGTTTATTCATTAATTTTATTATTGTTATTGTTAAATATTATCGTCAAGGTGTTACCGTGGTAACAACATTGGCCCATTTTAAAACCAAGTATTCAAATTAATCCAAAATTCCAGAATGAAAACATCAACCAATTAATACCAAGAATGTCAGTTATAATGAGCTTTAAGTATGGTAAGTAATTAAATGAGCCAGTTAATTAATTATCAGTTGGCCATTAGATTCTATTAAACTTAACCATAAAACTAAACATAATTTTAGTCGTACAACGTGATATTGTACAGTTTGTAAATGTCTTTACCCCATCAAATCATGACGATGTAGTATTCAGACGTTTTCAATTCCAAGATTTCCCTGGTCTTGTAAACTATGTTATGAAAAACACCACATTTAATCAGAGTTGTCAACATTATAATCTGAAAATAGTTTTCACCAAAGACTGACATGAGCTACAGATTCATAAAAAGCCAGGGTGTACTGAAAACCTATTTTTTCCTCGTTTAGGACTCTCCTCATTAGTACATATAGATTGACTCATACATGAATGTACCTACGACATAGATATCTCGAGGAGAGTAATAACAACTTAGGACCATTGGAACTAGAATCTACTACTTCACAAATCCAGCTCCAGTCATTTCGTGTCATAGAGTAATCTCCGAATTTCGACCAAAACATTAAAAAATAACTTGCTTATCTAGAAGCCTGAACGTCCCAGATTCGTTTCCTGATGCTGTCAATGTAAACTGACCAGGAGCTGCGAACTAAAATGGATCGGCTATCCAGTACCAACTGTTTTTCAATGGCTTCCCAAGTAATGTCGATTCGTGACAAAAACTCTCTGCCAATTGAATTTATCTTTATAAAACACTCAACTAAACAATTATCTTCTGTAGTTTATGCGGTTATTTCTAAAAATCTTCCATTTAACAAATACATTTATTGAGTATACACAGAGAAAAAAGGAGAACATAAGAACATAACTTACTCTGATTGTACTTGATCGATGTTCTTCGGGATTGACTTGACAGTGAAATATCGCATCTTGACCGGCTTCAACTGTTTCATTGATAATATGAGGTCCTTCAATTATTGACCCATCGATCCGTGCTATTTGCATATAAATTTAATCAAGAGAAATAGAGAATTAAAGAGAATGAATACTTAACATATCGTTATTTCTATAGGTGAACGAGAATAGCATATAATAGGAGATACAGTTCACTTAAATATACAACGAAGTGGTACTTTTCTCACCTAATGGAGTTCCTTCAACTTTTATGAAGTGTACAAAAATATACAATAAGATCGCTAATAGCTTTTATTTTGAACAATATTTGATAGCATCTCAAGCCATCTGATTGGACTACCTCTAGGACTCCAGTCAGAGAGTCGTGATGGACGTTTTTCTCATAAAGCTATTTTACATACCACGGTACAGTGTCATATACTGATTATCTCCCTTCCGCCTAATCCAAGCATCAGCAAATAATAATCAATATGAAAGTAGTTGGGATGGTATTTGTAAAACAAGCACAATTCACAGAAACCAGGGTTTCATGATGGTTAATTTTAGTTATATTTTATACCTTGCCGTCTAAATTGACATAAGTAGTGTAAAGTCTGAGCATTTAATCCAGAGGCTATAAATTGAACAGTGCAGATCTGTTACTCTTGAAGATGTATGGTGTCGTTTCGAATTAGACATTGTAGTTCTGTAGTTATTATTTAAGTGTTAAGATAATTTGATTGATAAATAATATATTAGTTTTAGTAGATAACAACAACAAATGCAGATATCTAACTCATTGTTACAATAGAAGAAAAATATAGTGAATATTAAGCATCAAAAATTCATTCATCAGATTACTGGAATGCCATTCTTCGTGTGTGTGCTTTAACATCACTTGACGCTAAGAAAATGTTTATTTGAACTTACTACTGACAAAGAAAGTTGTTTTAATGATGGTAAATAGAAGTATGCTCAAGATCTTGATAAATTGTCAATGTATTTCGTTTTTATTCCTTACAGTCTTAAATATTATATAATCAGTGATCAAATTACTAAATGTACAAGTAAAAATAATTAAGTAGTTGACTTGGGATAACTGAACTGAACACAACAGTTATCCTACCAATCTAATCATAGTTTACCTAGATATCATACAGTTGATTCATTCATGAAACGACATTGAACATTAGGATCGGGTTTGATAAACCTGAATTATTCTGTTTAGAAGTTTATAATAGATGTTATTTATCTTAGTGTGTTTATTTTTCATGTATTTGTGCAGAAAAATTACGCCATGTTTCGAGAACTGAAACTTTTCAATAAGATAGATTGTAAATCGTTTGACTTTCTTGTAAATGTAAGTGTGAATAGGGATTTTAGTCAGTCACAAACAACATACGGTCTGGAACGTATGTGGATCGAGTGACGTTGATATTACCACAGTAGCATGGTGAGATGAAAACAACAAGATGAGTAGTGAAGAAATAGAAATAGTGTAATCACAATCACAATGAAAAAAGATATATTAAAAATGTAATTTGTGACGACAATGAAAACGTGTTCATGAAGGAATAACGGGGTTTAAGATTTTGAATAAGATAACGAGTGAATGGATGTGAACGGTTGTGGAGCCATGTCTAACAATTAGCTGAGTAGGGTTGTCGCTTATAGCTTAACTATATGATTTACATCTACAGATATGGTTCAGACCATCGGTCAGCAACTTCATGGATTGATGCCACAACTTGTTTTGGCTGTCCCTAGTTTCCCTCCAACCTCTCATTGCTCGTCAAGTTAGGTTGTTGTTAGACTTACGTCATGTATGTTCCACCCGTCTCAGTCAGTTAACATTTACAACCTCATTAAAATTTCGTAAACGACTAACAATTGTTATTTTTAATGAAAGAGAAATTAAACCAGTTTCACTTGAGGTAGAAAGAGAGATATACATAGTGACATTGAATTTCATGAACATGAAGGAAAAATATAAATTCTTTACAATACCTTATCTAGCATATGTATTATGTGGTGTAAGTATAGCTTACCGAAAACTTCTACAGTCGAAAATATATATCTATTAATCGCTGATAATAATGCATTTTTAATCAGACTGTTGTCCGCTTACATAGTATCATATTTAGTCAAAATGACTTAGTTTAATTTATAATTCTACTCATTTGAATAGGTTGTTTTCAGAATTATTTCATATGCTTTGAGAGTTATTTTTACTATGAACTGATGTTAGCCAAAGAATCAGAGAAAGTATGCGAATTTAACCAAATCAGAACTATGAAAGTTACCAAACAATACAAATGGATGAAGATCACACGATATATAAACAGCCTAGGTTTCAACAATTGTAGGCCATTAAGTGAGTAGTGATGAGAAAATAGCTTCAAAATAAGTTAGTATACGTACATAGACAAGGACTCGACGCATAACTAAGAACAAAAGTTAATAACTTCATGAAAAAATGTTATGTTTCGTTCCAAATTCTTTTGCTATTTTTCGTGTCTCATCTTACCGTAACTAATGTTAGATTATTTATCAAATGATTGTTGTGTAAGCGTATTGAATGTTTCAGCCAATTAAGCCTTATGAATATTCAGGTTTTTCTCTAAATCAAATAATCTTCGCAAAACCTCAATACTGACCACTAATTTGTACACGAGTAATGCTTCAAATACATTAGCTATCAAATACCGACTCTCTATTCATCTTCTAAACCATTGTTAGCCACAGGAATCGTGGAACGAAATCTAATCACAGTTTGATAAGGTTTTCCTTATTGTCGCTACAACATATAGACTGGAAAAGATTGGTAATACGTAAAAATAGCGACCTTTTTTGTTAGTAGTATACGTATAATTCATTAAAAATGCTTTTACTAACTTGAATAAATAAATAATATTAAGTGAAATTAGTATTATCTAGAGTGAAATCACAGTTTTTGTCATTTTAATCTTAGACGAAGAACATACCAAAAAAAATGATGTTACATTTTACTATTCTGACAAGTTTGACAAGTTTATAATTGTAAATACAACTAGTATTTTAATCATCCACCATACACCATTTTGTACATCTTTCTTATACATTAACGCTTACTATTCTTTTTTCTACAATGACTTACAACTATCATCAAATCATCATCACTCCACAACACCTACTCCTCTACATTTATTTAATATTGTTGTTGTGTAAAGTGGAATGAAAATGTAATCTTAAAGTGAAAAGAGAATCATTTCATTAAAATATCTCAAATCATGAATGTAATAATCATAATTATACTACTAAGTAGAATTTTTGGCACGATTTAGGCGTTATGTTATGTTATTCAATTGATGAAGTAAACCTATTTCATTCATTTCTCTAAATAACTTGTAATAACAGTGATAAGGTCATCATGTCGGGCATTAGTAAACAATTTATGACATAATATGACATGATATATGCATATATACATATACAAGCACACGACAGTGTAGAATTTTGCACAATGCATGAACACATATGGATTCACCTTTAAATTTGTATTTGAACAGATGTAATCTGCAACAACAAAAAATGCATTTCTTTTCAAAAAGGATAGAGAACTTGTCAAATTTTCTGAGAACATTCTGTAAACATTTTAATACATCCAAATTTAGTATTATATAAATACACCCAATTACTACGTTTTAGGCAAAACAACAATAACACAATGTATTGGAAGTGTGAAAGAATAAGGTAAATTCACATGTTAGATAACAAAAAGGGTGTTCCTTCAAAATCAATGTAAGTTTGACAGTAAAATACAAAAAGAAAAAATAGATTGGGATTATGTTGGATAACAGAAAACGGATGAATAAGATGCAAATGAAAAAAAGAACATTTTATATGCATACATTGATACGAGGGTGATTCTTTGGTGAACTTTTTTTAGAGCCGTTAAGATTCATCAATGTCAAACAGAGAAATACGTGTTAAACAAACAAGTACACTTAGATTACGATACTATTACACGACTGCATGATATATATAATAGGAAATCAAAAGGCCCATGTATATATGCAGGCAAATGTGTACGCCTAAGAGCTTATCAAAACACGTGCTAATGAAACAAACACAAGAAATGTTTACTGATAATAGCCAACTAGTTTTTTTATTCTGTTACTATTACTATCATTATCATTATTTACGACATCAATAAGATGATCAAGTTTGATAACTATGACAAATTCAAGTCAAAATGTCAGAAAAGTTGAATGATCAATATCTGTAAACTTCGATGTCTCTCCCCCTTCATATTTGTATGTTTTAAACGTAAAATAACAGGATAAACTGTAAAAATGTAATCTTTTTAAGATTGTATCATGTCATCTTGATCCTCAAACATTCCTTTCCCCTTTTAGTCTAACTTTCAATGTTTAGGAATACAGTATCAACACACCCAATGCAATCATTCAAATTACTGACTGATAGGAAGGGGAGTTACTTAATGTGGGGTATCGGTTGTGTAATTTATGACTTTTTCTTATTTCTTTCTACAACTATGAGGATCCAAATTTTGAGAGGGGATACTGGAAATGTTAAGACACCAATACTATCACATAACTGAGATATTTCCTTGAAAAAGCTTGAACTAGACTGCCAGGCGAAACGTTAGATTTAATTCAAATTCATTCGCTGAGATTTTACAAATACTTTCTTCCTCTTTAATGTCTCACATTAACTCGGCGCGCAAATACTGTGAAACAATTCGATCAAATTTAGACGAAAGTTCTCATTTATTTACTTTATTATTATTATTTCAGTATATCAACACTAGAATTAATCTCGCCCTTCCCGTTGAAAAAAGAAACCCAATTCATTTCTCAGAACTAAAAGTGATGATATTTAGAATTAAGATAAAGAATTTAAATAGGAGGGCAGGAAGACGAACTAAATTTTCTTACTATCCCCTTAACAATCACGCAACCGTAAATATAACTACAGATTATATATGTTTACCTGTCTTAGTAATGTCAACCAGCTGTCAAAAATAGGTCCTATAATGAACTTTTCCTACTCTCATATTCCGACTAAACGATCGATTATCTATTCGCTCACTTGATAA